GGGGGGGTAAGTTTTTCCAACCATATCTGATTGGAATGATCACCAGCTGCTGAGCGAGATGGTAAAATGTTGCACCCGTGCCAAGTCGCTGTTGCCTTCGATGTTGACACTCTGCCCTGCAGTCTCTCTCAATTAGTCATTGATGGTGCGCGGCTTTTTAGGATTACAGGGTGTGTCTTTGTGTCACTACTTGCAACTTTGTTTTTCCTTTTTAGGAAGCTTTTATATTCAATTAGACATGCTAACAATACACAACTTGTTGCTCTTTCACCGAAACAGAAAATGTAGTTCTATGCCAGTGTTTGGGGGAAAAACGGCACGAGACGAGCTTGTTTCTCTCGCGCATACTCTGATGGAAAACTTGCTAAAACGTCATATTCTGAAAATGCTGGCATGCCAGCAATCAGCTGCTTCCTGGTAAGAGCTGCAGAAGTCTTTGATGCTGCCATCTCTGGTATTGTCTTGTCCTAATCTTTTGTGTACCTCTCTTTGAAATAAGTGGTACAAAATAGCCCTTTTGTTGAATTTCTGAAAAATTTAAAATGCGCCCGCAGTAGCACTGTATGTTGTCGCAGTCTGTTCACTCAGTGTAGAGCTAATTTTTGATCCAGTGTGGCATACATGCAGCACTACACTCTCTCACACCCCATATGTGTCTTTAATGATAATACAAAACAAGGCTCCCTGCGGTGCAAGTCTTTGGAGAGGCTCAGGCTTCAGTTGTCAGGGATGCAAAAGAAACTATAGGAGGAGGAACACACACACACACACACACACACACACACACACACACACACACACACACACACACACACACACACACACACAAACACACACACACACTCTCAAACACACTGATTGGAAGCCTTTTTCACACTGCATGTCAGTTTGGTTTATGTAATCCGCAATACCCAGAACGGCTCAGGAGCAGTGGCTGCTGGCAGCGTACATTAGATGACACACTTTCACTTTCAGGAGGGGCTCCAGACTGTGCGGAAAACATGTGAGGCCTAGATACAGAGATAGAATCAAAGAAGAAAGCAGCACGACGTCCGTGAAGTCTCTGTTGGTAAAATCTGTAACAACCAGCACCAACTCTTCCTTCACTTCAGCAGCCGTTCGTGCAGCGTTGTAGCAATATTTGCTTGGTCGTCTCATTTTCATTATCCTCGAATTCGGCTTAGGAGAGAGAAACTTGGAAAGTAATTAACTTTCCCAAAGTTTAATGCTACAGAAGTACAAAAGCGTTAATGCAGCTGTTCAAAGACCTAATGCAATTTACTGTGCAGAAAATCAAGGCGAGCCGTCTTCAAATAAAAGTTAATATGAGTGTTTAAAAAGAGTCTTATGAGAACACACAGAACAAGGAAACAAATGTTTGATGATACGTTTCTAAATACTTCCTGGGTCGAATTCACCAGTGTGCCTCGATTTAAAGCCGTTTCCAGCCTACTTCAATGTAAGGATCAAACTCCTCTAATCCACGTCTGTGAAATCGGCCAATACAGCATCAAAGGCAGAGTACTTGTTGCTTATTGGGCTTTAATCACCCCTACTGTTTTCCAGTAGAATTGGACTAGACCAAAAACTCGCTCAAGGAATATTTTAGTAATCTTGGCTTTTCCAAATGCAATGAAGTTTTGTGTGTGCGATGCAGTGATTTCAATCCAAGATTTACACACACAGCCAAGGCCTTCCTGGAGTTAATTGATAATTTACCAAACTTTCATTTTCCCACTGAACAATTTTTATGATCTAATTCTCAGTCTCAACTGTTTGAACATAAGTATAAATCATTAAAACCAGTAAAAGGGAATATTTGACTTTAATCATGAGCCACAGTTTTTCAATTATTGTCACAGTCGGAGCGAAGCTGTAAATTAGCAGACCAAAAAAAAGACATGAGTGGACTAAGCCTTTGCAGTGAGTGACTTGTCACTTACACAGCTGATTCTGATCA